AAAATGACTTTTGACAAAAGAATAAATTGCATAGAAAACACGAAATATAAAGCTAATTTTGAGATCTGTGTCATGACTAAAACCACCTCTTTTCTTATCTCCCCTAAGAGAAATAGTGCTTTTGGAGTGGAAAAGAGTTGTTAGGTGAGTTTGGATTCGTTTTGATAAAATGTATAAATATAGTACTGAATAAGATGCGTTAAAAATGATGGAATTAATAATGCTAAGACTATTTCCTATCAACGGTTTGATTTGATGTATTAATGATGATTCTGTTTTGAAATTATCAATGCTTGTGAATCTCGTATGAATAAAACTAAAAATGATATAGTATATTGTTAAAAAATTTCCTCACCTACCACATCCCGAATTGTTCGATATGAGATCGAGCCACCTCTAATCATGTTTGAAATGGAGTAATATTTTATTTGGCTCCAACACATTATATAAGGCAATGTATAGCCCTATGAATCTTCATCCAAAAACTAGCAATGGCAAGTTTGTGTAATAGTAGTAGTACCACTCTCAAAACTCCTTTTACTTCTTCCTCCACTTCTTTATCTTCCACTCCTAAGCCCTCTCAACTTTTCCTCCATGGAAAACGTAACAAAACGTTCAAAGTTTCATGCAAGGTTACCAATAATAACGGTGACCAAAACCAGAACGTTGAAACGAATTCTGTTGATCGAAGAAATGTTCTTCTTGGTTTAGGAGGTCTTTATGGTGTTGCTAATGCTATACCATTAGCTGCATCCGCTTCTCCAACTCCACCTCCTGATCTCTCATCTTGTAGTAAAGCAACGATTAATGAAACTACGGAGGTGCCATACAGTTGTTGCGCTCCCACGCCTAAAGATATGACCAAAGTTCCATATTACAAGTTCCCTTCTATGACTAAGCTCCGTATTCGTCCCCCTGCTCATGCTCTTGATGAGGCCTATATTGCCAAGTACAATCTGGCAATTAGTCGAATGAAAGATCTTGATAAGACACAACCTACAAACCCTATTGGGTTTAAGCAACAAGCTAATATACATTGTGCTTATTGTAACGGTGCTTATGTTATTGATGGCAAAGTGTTACAAGTTCATAACTCATGGCTTTTCTTCCCGTTCCATAGATGGTACTTATACTTCTACGAAAGAATCTTGGGATCACTCATCAATGATCCAACTTTCGCTTTACCATATTGGAATTGGGATCATCCAAAGGGCATGCGTTTCCCTCCCATGTTTGATATTCCAGGGACTGCCCTTTATGACGAAAGGCGTGGTGAACAAATCCATAATGGAACCATTATAGATCTCGGTTCTTTTGGGGATCAAGTACAGACAACTCAACTACAGTTGATGACTAATAACTTAACGCTAATGTACCGTCAATTGGTAACTAATGCTCCATGTCCTCTTATGTTCTTTGGTGGACCTTACACTCTTGGGAGTGACGTTGAATCACCGGGAACTGTTGAAGTCATCCCTCACAGTCCTGTACACATTTGGGCTGGTACAAGACGAGGTTCCATTTTACCTGATGGTAAAACATCAAACGGTGAGGACATGGGTCATTTCTACTCAGCTGGTTTAGACCCGGTTTTCTATTGCCACCACAGCAATGTGGATCGGATGTGGAAAGAATGGAAAGCAATTGGAGGTAAACGAACAGATATCCAAAACAAAGATTGGTTGAACTCCGAGTTCTTTTTCTATGATGAAAGTGGAAATCCCTTCAAAGTGAAAGTCAGAGACTGTTTGGATACGAAGAAGATGGGATATGATTACGAACCAATGCCTACCCCATGGCGTAACTTCAAGCCAAAAACAAAGGCTTCAGCTGGGAAAAAAGTGAATACAAGTTCAATTCCTCCCGTAAGCCAGGTATTCCCATTAGCTAAACTCGATAAAGCAATTTCGTTTTCCATCAATAGGCCTGCTTCGTCAAGGACTCAACAGGAGAAAAATGCACAAGAGGAGATGCTAACGTTCAATGAAATAAAGTATGATAACAGAGATTACATAAGGTTCGATGTGTTCCTGAACGTGGATAACAATGTGAATGCAAATGAGCTTGATAAGGCAGAGTTCGCGGGGAGCTATACTAGCTTACCACATGTACACAGAGTTGGGGATACTAATCATACTGCAACTGCTACTCTCCAGCTGGCGATAACAGAACTGTTGGAGGACATTGGTTTGGAAGATGACGAGACTATTGCGGTGACTCTGGTACCAAAGAAAGGTGGTATTTCCATTGGAGGTGTGGAAATCAAGCTTGCGGATTGTTAATTAGTGTGGAGTGAATCTGCTGAGATTACATGATATGATCTGTTACGATTCTGTTTTTGTTTATTGGTTTGTCTGTTTGTTTGCTTTTAATTTTCATGTTTGAGACGAATGAATCCAATTTCCTTGAATAAAAGCGATTTATTATCACATAGAACCATTTACTTTTGTTATTGAAAATTTAAAATCACTTTGTTTTATCTCATACAAAATGTTAAATGTGTTGTTTAGTCATTTTGGATAGTTTTGAGAATGCTTTAAAAATGAATGTTACAAGTGCATAATATGTTGTCTTGGGATAATTCACATATTATTACTCATCCCTAATTACTTGTTCACATTTCCTTTTTTAGTTGTCCCTAATTAGTTGTTCATTTTGACAAATCAACTACCTTTCTTGAAAATATTAAGTTTTTAATTCATCCACTTCATAATTAATAGGGGTAAAATGGTAAATTCACTATGTTAATTATTGATTTCTTAATAACTGTGTCAATTTAAAAATGGACAAGTAATTAGGGACAGAGGAAATATTTGATATGATTCAATGAATTTTAGCTATAACGATTACTTTTGCTAGTTAGTGTATTCAGTTTTGGAATGATATGTTGGTCTTGGAATAATTCACATATTTTTTATATGAGACTCCTAACTTTTAATAAAAAATAGGGAACAAGATTAGGAACAATAGCATGTGGATCTAGAAAGGACTAGTAACCTTAAAATAATGTAGCATACACAATAATAACATATAGTATTGAATATATTTACCCCACTAGATTATTTTATATAAAGAAAAGGTGCGATTTCTGACTAGAATTATTATATTATTACAGAAAGCAAAAAGACTTACAATATGTAGTACTAGTAAATAACAGCTACAAATGGAATATATATTGAATGATTACACCACAAGTCAATAATAAGCAGATAAAAACAATTACTGTAATAAAGATTTCTCCATCACAATTTATATGATTTAATTTTATTTTTAGTCAGTTTAAAAAAAATGATACATTTTCATATTTAGTAAGAATTTAATTTTTAAAATGTCTATTTTGTCTTTAATAAAATAATTTACAGTCACACAAATATCTATGATTTATTTTAAATCATAAATTTCAAAAGTCATTCTTTTTTCTTCTTAAATTTCGTGTCAAATTAAACTAACTCATATAAATTATGACGAATGGATTAAGTATTTCATGAAAAGGTGCGATTTCTGACAATAATATTTTATTATTAAAGAAAGCAAGTGGACTTATAATTGTTCTGTATTAGATAGCAGCTACTAATGGAATATATATAGAATAAATAATTGCACCACTAGCCAGTCGATAATAATACATCAAAACAACTACTACTATTTAATAAAAAGGTGCGATTTCTGAAAAGAATTACTCCCTCTGTCTCATTTTATGTGGCACTATTTCTTTTTTGGTCAGTCCCAAAAAGAATGTCACATTTCCTTATATGGTAAGTTTATAAAGGTACAATTTCTCTTTTATCCTTGTTGGTCCCACTTAATCTTAAAATAATACTCCAATACATTTATGAGAAGAGAGAAAAAAGAGTCTACTTTTTAAAGGGCAATTTAGTAAACATTTCAAAATCTTCATTTATTTCTTAAACTCCGTGCCCGGTCAAATGTTGCCACATAAAATGGGACGGAGGGAGTAAAAGTCTTATTAAAGAAAGCAAGTAGACTTTATAATAACCCATTAGGCACATGTTTCTCCTTCAATTCGAGATGCCTTGGATTACGAAAAAGTTTTAAGAAAAAAAGTAAAAAAGTATTAGCTCCACTAGTGGATGTTGAATTCAAAAATAAATAAAAAAGTAAATTAAGTGGATATTCCTATAATCTAATTTGCAAATGTGTGTAGGGCCTTTCGAAGTTTTGATGATGGGCAAAGTAAATTGGATCGAATGAATACAAGGTGAAGAAGAGCTTGAGTTTACTAGGTGTTTGTGAACGAGCAAAAGCTTTTGTAGAGTTTTGACATACTGTTCAAGTGCATTGTACAAGTTGCAAATTGAAAAAAACTTTTTTCATGATTATGAGTCTTAGTAGTGGTTAGGTGAAGTCTTGTATTAGTATTAATTAATTATCGAGTTTATTATTTTCAACCAACGTGTTGATATAAACTAGAATAAGAGCTTGATTTCAAGTTAAGGGTAACTTGATCACAAGGGATGCAACAAATTAGAGAAGTTATCGCTTTAGGGATGCAAGGAATTGATGCTATGAATGCCATAGCAAGTGAATCAGAATAAGCCCTAGCCTAGCTACTCATTGGAAAGTCTTATCGTCCAGGGAAAGACCTGGCCCAGGGCGAGCTTTATTTATTTAAGAGACAATAGAGAGTGAATCAAATTCAGTTTCCATTCTGGGGCTTTCGGGCCCCTCTCGATCTTTTTCTTAGTTGAGAAGAAGGAAGGAGTCTAAATCAATTGACATTAATAAGCTATCATTGATGAACGTTGCGCATGACACGATCGACTCAAGGTATTAGTGTTGGTTGAACAGCAAAGGGAAGATATACTTACAATCTAAGAACCAAGGGAGAGAATGTGGTGAAGGATCCAGACCTTTTAACTTCCAAACAACAAAATAGATAGAAGATAGAAATTCCATAGTGTATCAATGAGTTCAGCGCGCAGGAAAAACCTTAAAATGCAGAAACATCATGAAGATGAAGTTCTCAGTAAAACTGAAACTCTTCTAACATGCTAGGCATACATAAAGCTCAACAATGTACTCTCCATCTATAAATAAGATGTATGGGAATTGGCATCGCAGTTGAGAAAATAATACGCAGTGAGCTACATTAACAATGAGTTATATGTCTTCTGAATTATCCGCCTTGTGTCAACAAACTATGCTCATTCTACCTCAACCTGTCATTTAAACACACTAACAAGAAGTCATCTCGCTCCACTTGTGGGATTACACTGGGTTTGTTGTTGTTGTAGCAACAAGTCATCTCTGTAGCGAGCTTGTTGCCTTCTACCGCCTTCAAATACAGGATGAGAGCAGAGAAAACAATAAGCTAAGTTTTTGTTTCAAATTACTTATAAGCTCCGCAGTAGGTTTACACCCTTTCCAACTCCATGTTGTGTTTGTCTAATTGATCGTTCAACTCCTTCCTCCATTCTTGGATCAGTCTTTCCTGCTTACTTATAAGCTCAGTTTTTGTTTTCAACTCTTCTTCCATTTTTGCAATCTCCTGTTCATATTAATTGGAATCCACAACACTCCATTAACAATGCCAAAATTCATGGGAAACACTAATAGTTCTCTAAGAACTCATATCATCAAAAAAGATTATTTTCTATTATTTTAGTTTCTTGTTACCCTAACTTACCTTTCTAAGCATATCTGGCTTGGACGGCAGGTCCTCGCGTTGCAAACCAATCAAAAAAAGTTGAAGCTTTTTAGCTGCTTCCATGAAATCTCTCGCATGCCTCTCAACATCAACTGTGAAACAAAAAAATTGCAACTCATTCAGAAAAAAAAGAAGGAAAAAGATGAAAATTACTACACTTGAACAAGCATGAATTAGCACAACGAATAAATAAAATGGAAAAAGAGAAACAAACACAAGCCTAAATTGAAAAGGGGAAAATCCAAACTTTATTCCTGCATAGGTGTTAGGGTCTTAGGGAACCATCATCAGAACCTGAAAGTGTCACCATTTCTACAGGACATATGATGAAACTCTAGAAACGAGTAATAGAGTGTAGACTCAGGTAAATTACAAAGGTAACTAAGAGTCATTATCGCTAAAAGTTGGGATTAAGGATTTAGTTGTTACTATAACACTTTTATTAGGTATTGTGTTTGCAAAGATTATTTAGTTTTGTAGGAGATTAGTATATCAGTGTAGAGGTAAGCGTGGAATAAAAAGAGCATCTAGTTTTAAAATCTTAAGTTGTCTTTTAAGAGAAATAACTGACAATTGGAATGTTATAGACCGAGTAGATCGTATTAGACATGGAATACTCTGTACTCATACAGCCAACCCAAAGTCCAAACTAGTTTGAGATTAAAGGATAGTTGACTGATTGATTGATTGACTAAGAAGCTTAGGAAAATTGCAATATTCAAAGACCTAGTATCATGGTCATAAAGCCAACTCCAACAAGACAAAAGCTTCATTGGATCAGTGCTAGTAGGGCTTTACTGGTATTGAAATGGATAATGGAGCAAGACGTCAACTTAAAAGCAAAATATTCCCAGAGAGTTTTAGATCGTCAAATAGCTAAATTTTCTGACAGTACTCCAGCTCAAAGCAGAGGACCCAAAGTAAATTTTGACAGCCAACCAAAAGTAAGCATACAGAGTGTAGGAGTAACAATTATGCTATGCTGCATTCTTCTGACTGATGCATTACAACTAATCTCATCCTTCAACGATTATCAGTAGATACAAGACTCCAGATATAATTTTACTTGTTCAAGCAAAAGACAGGTTATATAATGAGCCAAAATTTACTCACTCTGATGATAAGGATGGGCTGAACGGTCTATTGCCTGTAACTCTCGTGCAGGCAAACAGGGAAGCAAAGCAGCCTCTAATGCCATAACACACGCAATCATGTCATCCCTTGAAGCAGGAGATTGCATTTGTGATTCAGGAGTTTGCTGTTGATCAACAGAATGTCTCTCAGCCATGTGTTTTCAAGCAAATGTAGAACCACAACAGCCCTCACTTCAAAGTTCAGCTGATAATTTATCATGACAATTAGTAAACGAAACAAAATAAGGGCACAACCACTTCAATTACAACAATAATACTCTGCTCCAAAAAGTCTATTTTTCGATCTTCGATATTAAATTTGACTAATTCTCAAATTCATATCCGAAAAACAATTTTCCAACGGGAATTTCAACATTTCAGAATTGTACGAAAACTTCAATATGTAACAATTCTATTCCATTTCAATTTACAACTACACATCAAATTAAACACTAACACGAACATGAAAAATACAAAAATTCACGCACAAATTGAGTGTTTTACCTTACTTGAGATGCAATTCAAAATCAGATGCTACGAAATTCAACCTGGATGAACAAGAATTTGAGCTGGGTTTATTTAGGGTTTAAAGGGGAAAGATAATGGAGAAATTGAAATGAATTGGGATAACAAGCCCTGCTAAATGGGTTCATTATTCGGGTTTTGTATAATGGGCTCAAAAAGTCTACCACGCCCAATACAGCTAGCCCAGCCCATCTTGGATATAAGCATGGTAAATAGTAGGGATATTTTCAAGTTTTTGTGCGAATTGTTTCTATTTTCGGGTGGTCTTTCATTTTTGCTATCCAATATAACAGTCTTTGATGTTTGTTCTCTCGTTAAAGTACCATTAGCTATGACCTAATTTCGTTAGGTGTAAGCTTGGCAAACTTTTATCTTATCCGACAGAAGTTGTGTAGTATTTAATTTGCAAGGTATTAAGTTTAGAAGTAATAATTAGAATTGTTTGAACGGGCTTATTATTGCTTTTGACCTATAATCATAAGCTAGAATTTATAATTTATGATTTTTGGTTTAAATTACTTAAATACACAACACTTCTTTACATATTTTCAATATTTCCCTACTCTTTTACTAAAATACAAAAATCCCTTATTTTCCCCCAATTCAACTTAACCGGATACTTTATTAGTTTAAGTATCCGCCCGTATTAATTAAAGTATCCGCGCTGCTATATTATGCATCCGCCCGTTAATTAAGTATCCGTGCT